AAAGGCTTCTGAATACCCAGCGCAATATCGCAGGTGTGCAATTCCCAGTGGTTGGCCCCCGGGGCAAGGGACACTACCTGCTCCTAGCATGGCTTTGTCAAGCGCACAGGGTGTCGCAACGTTCCCTCAAGAGAGTTTATCTTTCTGTGGCACCAAGAACCAAGAACCGGCACAGTAAGGTAAGGTGATGGGCACTTAGACAAAGACTCAACGGAACGAAACAAATATTGGCACCATGTCCCCTGTCTACATTCATAGTCTGATCGGTGGGTATGTCGCATTGACTGTGAAACTGAGATAGCAAGCTAAATTGTCGGATTCTCGTCTAAACTCTGCTGACATCAAAAGGCTTGCGCAACGGCACAACGAACTCGTTTTCGGGCGGGACATGAAGCTGCAGTTGAACAGAGAGTTTGGGGAACAATTCCAGCTTCGCACAGTTGAGATCAGTTCTGAGTTACATCCGACATCCGTTCATCCCACAATGCATCGGCAGAAAAAGAAAGCCAAGCTGTCGAGAATGGTGTTCTTCTCGCCGCGCGGCACGCGGACGAGTCATCGCGCCTGTGACCTTTTGGAGCGTCGACTTCTTTTGGAGCGTAGACTCCTGCACTGTTTGTGGCAAGCTCCAACATTAAGCACAGAGTGCTTTCTTGAGCTGAAAAAGGAGCAGTTGTAAGATACAGTAAAAGCCCTTCCGCATACACCCGTACCGATAGTATGTTGGCATACCAGTGCGGGAGCACCGATTAGTCGACCGCTCATACGACCAAGTTGCAATCATGGCCGGGCTCGTGGAAGTTTGGGGTTGTGGTTGGATAGGTTCGCCGCATTTGCTGCTGTTTCGTTGCTGAAAAGGGCTGAAAGCTACAGTGCAGGGCCTTACGTCTCCTAGAACCAGGCTCTGATTGTACCCGTTTGCCTGAACTCTGGAACCAGGCCCTATAGACCCAGCGCCACTTGTCGACTGGAAGCAGGCCCTGGATGCGACAACCAGTTGTCGAACCCAACCGAACTGCATAGCCCATAGCAATATACTGTTTCCATTACTATACTCTCCCACAACCCCATCCGACCACCACCTACTCTACCCCACCTGGAAGCCACATTATTCCTGACTTCGAACATGTTTTGATGCGTTTCCAAATAGTCCACCGCGGAATATAGCTGCACGGTGTCCATCTCTAAATAGGAAGCATAGAATTGTCGATATAGTCTGCGAACAGAATAGGGTCTTGACAAAATCCTGACTTCCATTAGGACCTAATGAAGTGCGTCTGCTTTTCTTCGGTTTCACAGTAATATAGCCAGCTGCCCTAGTTGCATTGTCATTCTCATTTGTAAGGGTCTGCTGGATCGTCCGCAAGTGAGTGCACCCTTACCTCGGCGATCGCTACCTGCTTGGCTCTACACTACATGTTCAACGCACCATCTCTGTCGCAAGATCATTGCAAACATGTTGTGAAAATCTCATATCAGATAGGAATCTCAACGAAGAAGAACGAAGAAGTGCCAACGGAACCTACATGCTAGTCCAACACCCACGCCAGAGGCAAAGGCAGCACCACGGCAACAGAACACTTGGCCTACCGAGTCGACAGGCACGATAGGCAAAGCACGGCTGAGGAGTATGTGGACCGTCATGTGGAAACGTCACGTGGACCCGTCCGTGCCAGTACCCAACGGCATATCTGTGCCAACGTCATGTTGAACCGCTGAGGCACAGCACGGCGTGGACAAAGCACGGCTGAGGAGTCTTATGTGCCTCTTCACATGCTCAAGACGTATGAGTCAGCCGCCGCTCAATGTCGACATATCAATCGGGACACGGCTTTTCAGGCAAAGCCCTAATGATGTCTTCCTAGCCACATTTGTCTCACAGCCTTGGATGTCTTGTGTGGCACTGGAGGCCACAAGCCATACCAAAGGAATGCCTCATACAGCTCTTCTAAGGATCAGTAGTTTCAGCCACGGGCCCAGGTCTTTCCAGTTAGTGTGGCTGAGTCGGCTGATCCCTGGGAGTAGTGTCATCCGCTTTGTTTTGCAATGGAGTTCTGGCATGCTGGGCGCATACAGCTGTCATAGCTGTTTCCTTCCGCTGCTCGAGCGGATTGCCTGGGAATTTTGCGGTGGCTTGTTGGCAGTTTCGTCCTACCACTGCGTCGCTGCAAGAATTGGAGACCTACACGAAAGGGTTGGCAACCTACATGTTTGCAAGCTGCAGTGCTTCAGTTCACTGCGGCATCACGCAAAAGGGTTGGCGACCTACATGTTTGCAAGCTGAAGTGCTTCAGTTCACTTTGTATCACTGCGCAAGGGTTGGTGATCTACTTGTTTGCAAGCTGGCAGCGCTTCACTTCATGAGGGCATCAACGCGTTGGTGACTTACATGTTTGCTATAGGAGTTGTGTCCACACTACAGCAGGGAAGTGGCGGACCATATGCTTGCCATGTCTCCAGCTTTTCGATCTTCAATATGCTTTGAAAAACAGGGCCCGCAACTAGTGGCAGGAGCCGGCTCAAAACCTGTGAGCATTGTCCTGGGGGCGCCAAACAGCGAGGTCCGGTGGCTCACACCTCGTGGCCCTACAGTGCACATTTGTACGCGACAATGTCTGGGTTGTAGGGTTGCACTGACCGTGTTTTTGCCCAACATGGGAAAGCTTTATGTACAGCAACCACTTTCTCGCTTTGTTGATTCTGACACTAGAATCTACATCCTTTTACCTCAGCCGAGATTTTTACCCTCAGCCGAGATTGGCACTGTCAATCAAGGTAGTGCCAGCCGTTGGCTTGTTAATGAGCTTTAGGCAGGTCTGACATGTGACTTGCCTACTTTGCCGGGACCTCGGGCCCATGCCTGTGGTGTACAGTGGAAGGCGGGTGGGTGGGTGCCTCACACCCCTCTTTGAGGCTGTGCAATGCAGCTGGAACCGACTTGAGCCGCCTTGCGGCCGGACACGCTGCACGCGGCGCCGCTTGCGCTGCGCCCGTGCGACCGAACGTCAGAGATAAGGATCAGTAGTTTCTATGAGCTCAGCTCTGCCTACACTTACTTTGAGAATGCATTCTAAACACTACTACAGCTCAAATTCGTGTATATAATTGTATAGCCACATTCAATTTGCCTGCAAAAAGCAGAAGGGACTGGGTTGGTCCTACCAAGTAAATGTTGATTCTCGCGCATTCACGCCCAGGACCTGCGTTCCTGGCAGTGCTGGACCCAGATTTCCAACGACGCAACGGTCTTCGAGTGAATGACTCGACATCAAGACGCATGCCTCGATGCGCTGGCGACAGATCATTCAATATCAAGCCAAATCAAACATGAGCTGACCTTGTACCGCTCACGGCTGTAGCCAGAATGAAATCCCTCTACACCAACTCCCGCAGGTCTACAGTGCAGCTACAGATCTGTGCGAGAAGTTGCCCCAACGACTGATTTTGAGAGTGCATGGCGTGTAAGGTTCTATACAATAGATGGCTCCCGGGACACCTGTACATAAAATACACAGGGTAAAGGTGTATGCTTTGACTACGGAGGTTCTCTACCGTGAGCGTTCTTTAGTATGATCGGAGCGTTGAATCTTGTTTGACCCGCAAACCCACAAAGAACTTTGAAATATGTTTATATAACAAATATATCTTTGATGTGTGAGAAAAGATGGAAATGAATGAATTCTCCTCTGCATCTTCTTCCTCCTCATCGCTCTCCTCGTTCGTCAGGCTTTGTTTCTGTTCCCGGCGAAGAGCTTGTGCAAAGATATGTAGAAAAGCAAAGGCGCAGACTGAAATCAGCATTACCAAAACAAAAAGAGCACACATCCTGGTTGTAGTTGCAGACGGGAAAATTATCAATAACATGGCCACAACGAAGTAGAGCACGAAACGTGTAGTAAGCAAACTGGTCTCCAGTATGTCCAAGATCTCTGCTTGGTTTTTGGAGTAGGGCTTGAACCAAGTTGTAAGGCAAAGTAGTATGCCTGATATGAAAGCAAATACAAACAGCTTGGCTGTTTGATCTTCCACCAATGAAGTGTAGGCTATCAGCATCATGAGAGCAATGTCTGCACGTTTGATCAGAAGATCCCACCACCACATCGATGGTTCCAAACCGCGAATAAAGAGCCCATACTTTCGACCACTTTCGAGCTCTTGCCGCGTTTTCCCCAAGCGGTAGATCAGCACGAACAACCAACATGGAATGCCCAGACACCAAACACTCAATCCAACGATTGAGATGATAAACAGAGGCCAGTGATCTTCGCTGAAACAAACAACACTTGGACTTGGCACCAGTCGTGGCCGCACGCAAGCATCCTCCCTGATAGGCGTGCACCACAGCAACGACAGAAACTGTGAAAGAAGTTGGGGCCAAATGGCAATCAAAGTCGGCCAAACGACCGGCACACTCTGAATCAACAGTGTCTTAAGACCTGGCTTCGGAGTGAAGAGGCCAAAGTCTAAACGATCGGCCGTCCAGACGTTCACGTTCACGTCACGGGCGGTGTCAGGTAGAGCACCGGTGGTGCGCAAGTCATCCTTTGGCTGTTCGGCTTCAATAGCTACCGATATAGCACTAGCATCGCCAGATTGCTTTGCAGGCCTTTCCCCAGCGCCTCACATGATGCGCTATCAGCATGACTCTGCGTGTCTCCCCAATCAATCCCCCTTTCTGTTGCGAAAACAAGCTGTTTAAAGCACACAAGCGTATCTTGAGGCCCCGATTCAGGGACCTGACATGCATCCTTCTACAGTTCAACATGTCTGACATGTATGACACCAACATGTTTCAAAGAAGAAAACATACCGCCTCGATCCCAAAGCTCGGCACGATGAACTAAAGCACCGATGAGCGTCGGGGGAACGAGAGCTTCTGTGATCACCTCAGCGACCGAACGACGAGAGCTTCGGTTCGACGCTGACGACTCAGACTGAAAGGGACTCGTGGGGTTCGTCCGTGCTCGGTCGTGCTGGAGTCTTCTTTGCAGGCAAGAGACCTTCTTCAAGTCTTCTTCGGAGAATTCTGCAAATAAGAAGTCCGTTGATGGAGAGTTGAACGTTTCTAGATCTAGACCCTCTTCTGCAAGAACAGCCTCAAGCTGAGGGTCTTTGGCACTTTTCATCCGACAAATCTCTTTGGCAAATCTCTGGTGCGTGTCAACAATTGAAGCGAAGGAGTCCAAACCACGGAATTTCGGCAGGTCAAGCGGTACATCTGATAACTTCAAGTCACGCGTCCAAGAATCATGAAACAGGGCTTGAATCCGCTTTCTCTTCTTCTGTTTCTTCTTGGCTTCCTTGTTGAAATGCACTCCAAATCGCCTTGCAACTGGAACCACGAAATGCACAACCACAGCACAAACCGAAAATGTTGCTAACGAGGTGAGCAGAGGTAAAGAGATGAAATACAGTGCAGGTGCAAGTCGTTGTGCCCCGGGACGTTCTGGAAACAATTCGAAGGCTCGACATTGAGCTGAAAACTTCACAGATGTAAACTTCGGCACCACATTTGAGATAGCGAAGAACACAGCGATGGCATGGCTCACTTCCACCGGCCATGGGAGCCTCAAGCTTTCAAGCGCTTCATTGACGTCACTCGTTCTTGTGCTTTTTGGTGCAACCGCTTGGCTTGAACTCCCATATTGCAGCAACTGCTCTTCATCACAGGAATCTGATGAAACGGATGCTTGCGCAAAAGGCGTCTCCAACAGTTCCAAATTGAAATGAGTGATCAGGGCACAAGCTGTGAACCATTGTGTTAGGATTCGGATCATGTAAGTGTGAAGTGGCAGGTTCGCATTGGCTGCATCAGACGCAGCCAAAGCTGCTAAAACAAAATTCAAGGCCGCTATCTTGGTGATCTCAAACACGATGGCCGTGCTCAATTGACCTGTTCCAGCCCCAGCCAAACACTCCTCACATGGACTGATGTCTTCAAACTTGGCCCAGCCAGCCGGGCATTCGCCACAAAGCATTCCGGTAGTTCCTTCTGCACATTGGTTGTCTCCGAGACAGGCGCTGGATCCATCAGCTAGCACGACTCGACACTTGGTAGCGAAAGTGCTTCCTGTCTGGTAGAAGCCTGCAGCAGCTCGAGGCTGCACATGCTCAGTGGAATTTGGTTCAAAGCCACCGGGGCAATACAGGCCCACATAGGGCAAGCAGCTGGCACAGCGTTCCAATCGACCGTTCGAGGAAAGTATTGCGTGGTAGTTCTTCACGCAAAAACAGTCTTCCAAGGAGGTGGCACCAGGATAACTATCGGCATTTGATGGGCATGTTTGGGAACAAGTCTCATTGCCGATGTTGCTCTTATACCTTCCAGGGACACATGGCTCACAGCTGCCACTCGAGTAATGGCCGGCCACACATAAGCAGTCATCAATCGATCTGGCAGAGGCCACCAAGGTCTGAGAGTGCTGCGGACACTCCAAAGGCTCCCCGTTTCCTGGGCAGTACAAGCCGGGTGTGCAATCGGAACAAACTCCTTCCGCATCAAAAGTGCCAATTTGGCATATGCAATCTTGGATTGAAGCACCTCCGACTTTCAAAGTGGATTTTCTAATGGGACATGACTGGCATTTATCGTTGGCAAGCGTACTCTTGTACTCTCCAACCCCACAAGGACTGCAGCCTTTGCTCTCTTCAAGGTACTCATAGCCGCTTGTGCAAAGACACTCTTCGACATTTCGAATAGTCACACCTGGTGGTACCAGGGCGTTTGCCCGGCATATCAAAGGTAGGAGGGACACTGAGACATTGGAGGGCTGCACATCTATTATGCCTAGTACTTCGTCTTGACGCAAGGTATCCAACACAGCATCTGAGGCAATACTGAGATCTACTTCTTCAGCAAATGTCTCTGCCTCCTCCATAGTCAAGTATTTGAGTGTGACCACCAAAGTCCTCATGGTTGACATGCGCCTGGATGAATTGTTGCTATCGTACAAAAGGTCCACTTCTGTGATTGCACGAGTGCCCCACATGGTGCGCAATGCGGATGCCACATTGTCGCTGATTGCGTCTGAGGCGTTGCCGGTGGCTGTGATAGAAAGGCTGAACGTCAGGACAGGCACTTCACATGTGTGGGAATTTGAGGCATTCGATTCGGATTCACCATCTTCAGGCGCCAACATTGTTTCTGGAACGCATGACATGTTGGAGGATGCTCCTGCAGAGAATGTCGTTGTGTTTTCTGGGCATCTGACGCATTCTTCATTGGCGGTTGCAGACTTGTAGAAGCCTTTGGCACAGCCAACACATTGGCCATCAACAAGTCCATATCCAGGGAGGCATACGCACTCCTCCCTCGAAGCAGCATGCCAATGTAAGGTGGTCTCCTCTGCAGCGCAAGAAACTTTGTTGGCGTCAGTAGGGTCACCTCCCCTGCAATAGAACTTCTTTGGGCATTTCGCACAAACTTGAGAAGATTCCGCATAGTACGTTCCTGCGCAGGAGTTTCAAGAAGTGTACAAGTTTCTAAGAGTCAGTGACCCGTTTTTCACCGGCCAGCTCTTGCTGCTTCGGCATTGACAAGGATAGGTACACAAACACACCTTGTTCACTTGCTGCCTTGGCGATGCCGTGCGACGGCGATGCCCGGAGGACCCCTTTGGCGAGCGGTTTTCCGGTCGCACGGCGACAGAAAAAAAAGTTCAGTTGCTTTCTGCCATCAAAGACAAGTGCAAAAGGAATCAAAAAGACGAGAAGAAACTGAAAAGAGGATTCAACTACACCAAAGACTATTAAAATAAACCATGATAAACTTATGATCTCAATGATCTCCTGGTGGGCAATGAATCTGCAGTTCTCCAGCTGCACCTCGAAAATCTGAGGCTGAAGTGCACAACAGATCGGCAGGGCACCAGCAAATGCGATACCCTCCTGGACCAGGTGTCGAACCAAAGGGCAAGGTTCCAAGGTCAACTTCAAGTCCATTGCCGTCGTCCTTCACTCTCAAAGGCTCTGGAAGCTCCATGAAGATCTGGAAAGCGACCCCTTCGCTCCAGCTTTGGCAACTATGATTGCGGAACACCAAGCGATCACCCACATTCAAACCGATACCAACCAGCTGTACAGCGCATGGATGGCCTTGTTCGCACACTCTTGTAACGTAGAATGGACCCTTTGTGGTGAAAAGACCCAGCGAAGCTCGAAAGTCCAAAGCATGGGTACAGTTTTCCAGAGATGGCCGGCAAAAGCACATGGAAAAAATACCCACTGCCGACCACAACAAGGAGCTTTCACCCACAAAATCGAAGTCTCCATTCTCCTGGCAAAGCAGCTTTGGGTGGCAGGATAAAAAAGAGCAAGCATTGTAATCGTCTATTATGTTTTATATAAAGCTGTGGTTTGACAATGATATGTTGCTTTGCTTGCACTGCTGTTAAGCCTTCTGTGTGCCATGTCCATTTCTTTGCCAAGCTTCGTTGCGAAAGGCAATTCCATTGCCGGGACTTCCAGGAAGCATAGGACCTGTCTCACAATCCGTGCGGAGCATGATCCGGTCACCAGTCATCAAACCAACTCCTTTAATGTTCTGCAAATGGCAAGGCTGACCCAGAAAGCAGTTCGTCCGTTGATTTGTGTAGGGTCCTAACACTTGCAAGTGGCCGGCTGGCACTGCAAAATCTGAAGCGGTATTGCAGGAGCCGCCGCACCAGCAAATGGTGTACGCTTCATCCGCATCCAGCAGAACATTGCCAAATGTAAGGTAAAACTCTCCATCAAAGGTCGAAAGGCTGCCAGTACCATTGGGATTTGCAAGTGCCAGCGATAGGACTTCAGAACCACCACATGCACGGCGAACCGCCACTCGATCTTCTAAGGAGAGCTGATGTCCTTGAAAAGGCCGCAAACCTAAACAGGTCTGACCTCGAACACAGTCCAAGGAGTGATTACGAAAAGGTCCAATGACTTCAAGTTTTCCTGCGGACAAAATGAAATCGGTCTGCAGACTTCCGCATTGAAGATCTCGCATGTTGGCACACCAACACAGATTGTAAATTCCTCCTTCTGGGCTAAATTCAACGGAGCTGTCTCCCCATACATATCGATGTCCTTCGCTTGTTGCAGGCTTGGAAACGCCTTGAGCAACTACACCGGACACTGCCACTTTGCCAGTATTGCAATTTGACTCGGTCACAGCAAGACGGTGGCCATCTTGCAAATGGAAACCCGTGATTTCGATCAAGCACACAGTGCCTGATGTGCACTGCACAAATTGTTGCGGCTCTGGCTTGACACAGAAGCTCTCATCTTCAGCTCCACTTTCACGGGTTGTTGAGCCTTGCGTACAAAAATTGCAAGCATCTTCTCGCGATGCTGCTGATTCATTGCTCCATCTTCCTGCAACGCACGGTTGGCATGCGCCATCACCGATTTCTGCCTTGAATGTGCCCTTCAGGCACGGTTGGCAATTGGAGTCACTTCGAAAAAAACCTGAGGCACAAATGCACTCCCTTGCATCAGTGGCGGTCTCCGTTGCAGTCGTGAGGGATTGGCCGCATGGTTCTTTATGCCTGCCACCGGCACAAAAAAAACCTCGGCCACATGGCTGACAGCTGGTGGGATCATCAAGTATTTCATTGACAAATCCTGCTGGGCACGTGCATGCGGAAGTAGATACTGCTCCTTCAAGCAACGTTGTGAGTCCTCCGCACGATGAACAAGCTGCATCCGCAATCGCAGACTTGTGCTTTCCTGCTGGACATTTTTGACAACCGCCACTGAGACCTGATTCACCTTCACGTGGTTCCATTCCATGGGCACATTTGCAGTCCGACTGATCTCGGACCAAATTGCCGCCGACAAAGCCCAAACCATCCGGACAATGAAGCACATCGATAGCTATTGAGTGTCTGGTCACAGCAGTTTCACTAGCTAATGTTGCTGTGGTGAATGCGAAGGCTTCGAAAACTGATGAGTCCATCTTGGCATGCAGGGTCATTGCCTCCTCTTCTTCGGATGTTATGACTTTGTAATCGATTTGACCGCGACTTTCAGTGAGCTGCAAAGATGCTCGAGCACTCAGGTCCATGTAACCAAGCAAGTGCGCATGGACCATCTCCAAGGAACCACTAAATGAAACGACAGAACCAGCGAAGGTGTACACCTTTGCTTCAGTTCGTGCAAAACTACTATTGCTGACAGCATCTCCAAGCAGAAGCACGTCCACGCAGTTGAAAACGTCACTGGATTCAATGTCAATGGTGCCAAACGGGCAATAGCACTCCTGCAAGGAAATGGCACCCTCTTTCGAAATGCTTTGCTGCGGGCAACTTTGGCACAAGCCAGATCCTGTGTGGTCTTTGAAGTGCCCTGCAGGGCACATTGAACAAGCATTCGCCCGTGAGTCCCAGAAATGCCCACGCCTGCATTGACAATCCTCAAGTGAGACCGACCCTGTGAGGGAAGTACTTCCTTCTGGACACTGATAGAGAACCGACTCATGCGACTCCAGAACTCTGCCACCCGGACAGTAGCTTCCCGGCAAGCATGTCTGGCATTTGGATGTAAAGCTGCGCAACTCATACGATCCTGGAGCAGTCCAAATCACTCAAACGTGCGACCAAAGGAAAACCAAAGAAAAGCCCAGTGAAACGATTCCCGAAGAAAAGCCTCTTCTGACCACGGTCGCTTCAGCAGTATAAACACAACAATCAAACGGCCACCAAGACAAGGTCGACCACCAGAAAATGCGCGGAGAAGGCTGCAACTCAGCACAGGTCAATGTCTTGAGTCTTGAGAAGCACGGCAGTCGGATGGATTGTAAGAGTGGACAAGAAACTTGAGATTGGAGAGTCGGAGAGCTAGTTGGAGAGTCGGTTGCAGCATGAAAACCAGGCGACCTGAAAACTTCAGAGGCACTGGAGGACCACTTCAGACGGACAAGTGCTGAAAGGAAAGGTCATGTTTGGCAGAAGCAGCACTAAGTATTCAACTTCGGAACACGCTACAGGTCACTGTGAATTGTGAATGCAAGACGGATACAAGGACAAACGACCGAATCAACAAAAAACACGTCTTTGCAATGCGCCATCTGCCTGTTGTTTCAGCAGTTTTGTCAACGTTTCTTTATGAGTCTCGCCTCTAGTTACGGTCCTAGTCGGGCGTTGCACATCGTCAATTCGAGCACGTCCGAGTTTGCTGTCCTGGAGGGCAAACCACGTCCAAGAGCATGGCCAAAGCGCGAAATTCGAGCAAATCTCCACAGCTTGACTCTTCTGCACACCAGCACTCTTCTGCACACCAGCAGAGTTGCACTTGTTCCGGTGCGCCATCCAAATCCAGCGGGCCAAAATCAAACACATCTGTCAGAATGTCATCCGTTCCGGATGCACTGATAGGCCGTGCTTGGAAGGTGGATGTCTGGAGAGACGTGCCGCATTCTTTCAAGGGGAGCAACTGGTCAGTCCTTGAGAGCGAGAAACCTTGCAATCCTCCAACCACGCAATGAGATCCCAAATCACAAACGAAGGACTGGCCTGAGAAGGGGCCGAGCACAAGGAGAAATCCAAATTCGAACCAGTGACCTTCACACAACGAATTGACCTTGGAGCAACGGCTGATCCGGTACAGACCCGGTTCTGCAAGCCAAAAGGGTCCATTGGACATGGCCGGGCCACTCTCAGAGTCGTTGTAATCTGTAGCATCTCCGTCGGACACATCGCCGGTCGCATTGTTCAATGAAAAGTTGGCGCCATCTGATGTGGAAAAGACGAAATACGTCAAAGTGAAAAAATCCACCACTTGGATCATGTCATCTGCTCCGAAGCGAAGTCCCGAAGTCCCAAACACAAGGTGGCACTCCTGGCCCAAGAAGCACTTCTTGACTGGAACCTCTTCCAAGTCCAAACTTCGGTACCTCCAGAAGTCTGATTTGTAAGTTGAATCAAAGCCACCAAACAAATGTACATAGTTGGATTTTGGATCCCACACTGCGGTGTGGTCCTCTCGAGGTCCTGGAGCCGGGTATGGTCCAGAGGGTGCCATTGGAATCCAAGAGCTGGTCAGAAGGCTATAATTCCATACCTGCTTGGTGGTTTCAACGATACGAAACATATGAGTCAGTGGGTTCAATCAGGCTTCAATCATCCCAAGGCCCATGGGTTCAATCAGGAAAAAAACATCTCTGAAACCACCAGCAAGAGACTTCCGCTGTGTAGTTGATCGATTCATTGACTCGGACCCCGCCGAAGATGAGCATTGACCAAGTGAGAGGCTCCCAAACGGCTGAATGGCCAGCTCGACCGGCAGGCGAACTTGATGTAAAAAGCTGAGTCCAGGAATTGCTCCACAGGGCATAGTGCCAAAGATCATTCAGCGCAGTGTCTGCCCAGCCACCAAAAACCAACATGGCTTTGGCTGCGTCTATCCAAACCGCAGTGTGCCGGCTCCTGGCTGAAGGCATCTCTGAAAATGAGAATACGGATAGTTCTGTCCAAT